CTTCTAGCACTGTGCTGTGTTTTTTTTTTTCCATCTTAAGTCTGGCCATTTTCTTTCTTTTTTTCTTTTTTTTTTTTTTTCCCCACCATGTTGAGTAAATAAACTTGAAAAATTAAATGCTAGAGAAACAAAACACAAAAAAGCAATTAAAGAGAATACTACGTTTACTTCCATATTTTGTGATTTTGTCTTGGCTTAGCATTGTTTATCAAAATAAAGCCAAGTTTGCCCTGCAGTTCACAAAAATATCCGGAAAACTCTGGAAAAAAAAATTATTCATAGCAGTACAGACTACTGGCCGTAGTAACAAACTTTATTTTGGAGGGGTTTACATATTGTGATGTTTTGTCAACACTGTTAATGATATGCTGTCTTTACGTATTGCCTTATGCATTATATACAGCTATGCACTCCTGTTGAATCCATTCAGAGGAGTTTTTACCCTGTGTAGGGGTGCTGTCCTTATCAATAACGTTCTGTTCAAATTACAGAAAATCCTTAAATCTTTTTTTTAAAAGAAAAGAAACCAAAGACATTTTTATTCAGGCATTGGCATGAATCTTGGAAGTATGTTAATCTGTGTTCTTCATCCCTCCTTTACTTTTTTTTGGTGCCAAGTTGTCTATTTTTAGCACATGAGATCTTCAGAGGTACTCTGCACTGTCAGTCTTTCCTTTTTGTCAATTTGTCACTTTTTTCCTTTCTTTTTTTTTTTTTTGTCCATCTGACAAGAAAAGTCTTGATATGTTTTGGGTTCTTCTATAACCATGTTTTTGTGCTAATGGGCTAGATTTCCAGATACACTAAATGCAAGTGTAGCCTTCTGCTCATCAGAAAATGGTAGAAAAGTTGCATGTATTTATATAACTCAGCTTTGAGCTGTTAAGCTGAGGAAGTTTGGAAAATAAGCACCACCCTTGGTGCTTATCTCTAAATATGTTTTGAGAATATCTAATGAGTAAATCAAGAATGAAATTTGCAAGTCAAACCTGCATAACCTTTGAAGTGTGGTTTAATTCATTACAGAGATATGATTGCCAAGTAGAAAACCTTATCCTTCTTTAGATTAAATAAAATTGTTTTCAACACAAGCAGCAATAAATTAATTGCAGTTTATTTTACTACAGGGCCTGTACTATGGTTTATTTGCCAGATTGAACTTTGCATATGTTTTGACAAAAATAACCAGTTCTGCAGACTTTCGTCACAATTTCAAGACTCTGAATTTCAAGGCTCTAAACTTCAGCTCTTCACTGTTTTAAATTATTATATCACCTGTGGCTATGAAACCTGTAAGCCTTTAGATATTCCAACTTAACTGGGCAACCTGAGCACTTACTGGTAAAGAAAATACAAAATACAATTAATTTTCTGGCCCTCATTAAAACATCTGGACCAAATCCTTTCCTCATTTTTGCTGTTCCTCACAGTAAAGCTTATTAATAAAGGTAAACAGCCTGTCCTAGGTTTCCAACTTTTATGGTTCATATCAGGTAAGCCAAAAGTGAGTGGCAATTCAAGACAAAAAGTCCTCTCCATCCCTTTTTTTCAGGCCTTCAAAGAGAATCCTTCTTACTGTCTAAACACTGGCTGCACTATGAAGTTGAAATTGAAGTGGCTGCTGTGGGAGCCACTTGTCAGCCATGTCCACCTTCCCCTTTGCTGGTATGGCAATGGTGCAGCTACGGCAAGGTTTAGGCAAGCTTGCTAATCAATAAGGAAAATTTTCTTCTATACAGAGTTAGTTTTCTACCAAGTCATCTCACTGCTCCTGCCTTGCAGCTGTTTGATTGCCAGATCCAGCAAAAGGAAGCATGTGGGTGCAAGTGGTGAAGAGAAGGGAGACTGTCCCAGAAGGCAGCAGCCCACCATCACATGGATTTGGTAGTCTAAGAAAAATGAATAATTTGATCACCTCTGTATTTCTTCCAGTCAGATTTGGTCTACAGATTTTTTTTTTGACTGCATATAGTTTTGCTTGTCTGAACGTCTAATTCGGAAACATTTTATCTGGTCCCCATGGAAGGAACGTGTACTTAACTTTTTAAAGTTAGTCGATGCAAGCAAAGCAAAGGAAGCCTAGGCATTCTTATAAAGTGTTTTTCATGATGGTCTTTACTCTGAAAACTTAAAACTTTTTTTTTTTTTTTGTAACTCCAGTTTGCCGTACATATGAATGGGCTTATTGCTAAATCTGAATACAGTGTGTAAAAATAGCTTCAGTACATAAAAAAAAAATAGGAGCACATTAAATATATAAAAAGAAATGTAGCAATTCCCATTGTGTGTACACAATTTACGTAGGTCTACACATTTTTTCAATATGTTCTAATATACCTTATTTAAGACAGTGATCCAAAACTCTCAGTTTACCTGTTACATATGTTTAATATACCCTTGTCTGTGCTCCACAGGTGCTTTCAACCTCTCAGGAACTTAATACTCTGTGTTTTTTTTTGTTTGTTTGTTTGTTTGTGGGTTTTGTTGTTTCCTTTGTTTTTCCCCATTGGCATATTTCTTTTCTGTCTGATCACACCTATGAATTGCCTTAATGTGACAGTTTTTCCTCTGTTTACAACACCAATATTTTGGAACTAAGAATCTCAAATACTTTAGGTCTAACTGCTAGCTTTAAATGCTACCAGTGGCGAAAATGTTACGTTCATTTTAAAAAGAAGAGAAGGGAATTGTGTTGCACTTACATTCTCTTATCTAAGGGAGGTGTGAAAGACGACAGCTTTGGGGAAGATGCATTTTGAAAATTTCATTTTCGAAAATATGTTTCATAGAGTGATTTCAAAATATTTAAACTCAGTCATTATACTTTGATACAGTTCCAGTCGTACTTGCAATATTCGGCTTTAAATTATCTGCTAATGTTGTGGTTGCTGTTCTGATGAACTTACTTTTCAGTAGTACTGTCATTGGCTACCCATGACCAGAACTGATGTATATAAATGGAATAATGTCATTACAACCTTTAATGTTTTTGTTATAAAATTGTAGAGATATTCTTACAGCTAAGCGGTATCTATGTCATATATAAAATATGTGCTACTGTTAAGAATACACAGTCTTCACGATAGAATTCTGTTCCTTAAAATAGGCAAGAATCTGTAGTTCACTTTATTCAGGTGTTGATTGTCTTAAGATATATGCCATCCTAAATTAAATTTTCATTTCCTCTCTAAATTTGAACAACCAAAATGAAGAAGTGCTATTGCATTTTCATGAAAGCAAAGCTTACTGCAATTCTTTGCAGGATCCATTTGAAGAGTCAGATTTAAACGTCTGAGATAAACGGGATTTTCACTCTTTATTTTTTTTTCCATCTTCTTCCCCTTTTAAAATTAAACTTCTTCCATTGAACAAGTCTTGAGACTCGTACAGAGCTAACCTGTTTCAGAATAGCTACCCTCTCTGCTTACAGTAGGACTGAAGGCCACAGGGTTGCCTTACCGAGGGTACTTTATGTATGTGCTGTCTTGGTCTGCATCTACAAAGCACAGGCAAGTAGGGATGGGGTTGTAGAGGAAAACAGTTGATAAGGACAGCTTGATGTGCACGTCATACGCAGTTAGGCAGTTTGGATTTGTATTTCAGACAAACTTGAGGTCACCCTTTGGATTGAATTCCAGGTATCTGCTGGAGCACATCAGGCATAGAGTGCATGTTCTAGATAGGGTTTCATCTTCAAAGAATCCACCTGATGGACCCCAGCATGGAAACTGAAGCAAGATAGGTTGGGCCAACTGGGAGATTGTTTTCAAAATTGCCTTTGTGTTCTGTACTAAAATATATGATAATTCTCTTGAAACAGTGAGCAGCATCACCATTTTCAAGACTTGCTTAGCTTCGGTTCACTCTACTGAGAACTAACAGGAAGCAGTAGGAGGTTTTTTAGAAGCCTTAATTTTATCTAAACCAATAGGAACTGATGGCTGTGTGATAGAGGTGATTTTACGTAGTTTAACAGATTACAATTTTTAAAGGGAAATTATATGTTTAAGCAATTGTTTACATACATATACAAATACATATACGAATACTAACTTTAAAAAAGAGAAACCTACTAATCTGTGCTGGCTGTACTGAACAGAGGTAGAGGAAAGGAAGGCTGTGTAAGAGAGTAGAAGAAAGCAGTATCTACAGTCCATTCACTGCCTGTATTTCCAGAGTGCCACAGTGTAGTCAGAGCATGGTGGTAAATCCGTCTCTTCCTCTGAAAGGAAGTATAATAAGACAACAAGCTGGTGTTGATACTACCTACTTCCACATCCATTAGTAACACCACATGGAATCTGGGAGGGGGATGTTTTAGGGCAAGAGGAAAAATAGCTTCTTCAAAAAATAAAATGAGCCCGTCTCATTCTCCATTTTCCTGTACTCTTGAGCAAAAACATTACAACGCTTTTGTATAATAATTAACGCAGTGTGTTGCTACAAGGTACATTTAAATTGTGTGTTTTGAGAGTGCATTTTTGTGGACAAAAACAATGGATGCGGTGGGGTCCTAGCACTTGATGTCAGGGTCACTCTGATTCCTTGTGACTTTTTCTACCCTTTAATTATTGGCAATGCCATTTCAGTGAGATAAGTGTAAAAGTTGTGACATGCAAACCAAAACCATTTTGTGCTTGAATGATGCTTACTTTTCAAAATACCGAACAATTAATAATTTTATTACAACATAGCTAGTTGCAGTTATTTTCTCCACATTTTTGTTGGTTTTGTTTTTGTTTTTCTTGAGCATTAACGTCTTGTTCAAGAACACACAGGAAGTCTGTGTTAAAGAAATGGTTAAAATTCTGCAGTGTCTGGCTCGAAGCCCTGTCCTCCACTAGACTCTGCTGCCATGAAGCATGTTTGTATTTTTTAATGTCTAACAAGAAAAATAACACTTTATGTTAAATTTTAAAAATGTTTAAAAGTGTCACTTTGATGTAACGTATTCCCACCTATTAAAATGTTCTACATTTTAACTAGACACTTTATTCCAGCAATCCATCAAAAACTGGAAGCGGATGGAACGGAAAAAGTAGAAGGATCCATGACGCAAAAACTGGAGAATGTACTGAACAGTAAGTTTTGTCCTTCCAGCAGCACCTATTTATGGACTTTGGGCTTTCTAACAAGCTTTAACTTATTCCTTGGAATATGGTAGAAAGTAGAAAACAGTACGGACTCTCTTGACACTTCCTGTGTGATGGCAATGATCTTAGTACGCTTCTGGAAGAAGTAGCAGCTTCTGTCATCACCGTCAGCGGTGTTTGTGATAACGAAGAGAATAAGTATCAAAATAAAGGATGTCTATAACATTAAGCTAATTTTGGTGATATCTCAATTTTGAGCATACAAAGAAAACAGGAGATGCGATGGAGATGTACAAGAACGAGCAAAGCTAAGTGCCAGGATTGTAAGATGTTTTGAGGGCTAAAAATACAAATTGTTTGCAGTAACAAGGTTACTAACAGAATCTTTCTCACTTGATGTGTTATCACTTGAACTACTTAAAATGAGCATTATTTTTAGAAACTTTGAAAAGCTCTTGGTACTTTCTTTTCTCTGTTTCTCTATTAGCTGTACAATTGCAGTTGGGAGAGGTGGCTTGAATTCACTGCAGTTTGATATGCGTTTCAGCAGATCAAAAAGTTACTTTTTTAATTCTGGGACTTCTGCCAAGATAATTTTACTTTGTTTCATTGTGATTTTTCTCACAGAGGAAGGGATGTTTCCCTTAGTGCTGTATCAATAAGCAGGAATGACATGCAGATAGCTGACTCAGTGCTGGAAAGTCTGAGTGTGTTTTATGAAATCAAGAAAGTGACATTGGAAGTTCACTGTTTTTGTTCTCTTGCATGAAGAAAGCAGTGACTGTGTGTGTGCTTTTGTATGGAGCACAAATAAAGCAGTTTTGTTTTTGGTTTTTTTTCCTGCACAATTTTAGCTTTTTTTCTGTAGACATACGTTCACACTCAAAATAAAGATGTGGTTTGAACATAATTATTGCCCTATCTTCTTGATTGGAATGAAAAAAAAAAGCCCTCATGTGCATGCAGACACACGCTATAAACAAGACAATGTGTGCGTGCAAAATATAGTGTGCAGTCTGAATGGCTTGTGTGCCAAATATCTGATACATATAGGGTAGGAGAAAAAAACATGTGCTGGAATTGCCAATGCTATTCCAAGTGTTCTGTGTTTATGACATGTCACACACTTAGCACAGATCCTGCAGACAGCACTTTCCCTTTGACAAAATTATGTGACAGATTTTAACATAAAAAGCATAAGCCATCAAATTTTGAGGTTCATAATATTTTCTTCCATGCTTTAATACGAGACAAACCCAACTATAGTATATAAGCATTTTTTCACTTGCTAAGTGGCAGCTGAAATCTGTATGCAGATAATGCAGACATTATTTTTCAAACTGGATCTGTAGAGGAACTTGTGCCAGCCACTTCAGAGTGTATTAAGTTTGGCTCTGCTGTGAAAAGAATTGGCTGCTTTTCCTCCTGATACTTTGCAAGTCATGATGGGTGGGAGGCAGGGGGGTAGGAATACAAGGATTTAAAAAGAGTAAATAATATTATGCAAAGTAGTTTAGGATCAAAGGTTTGTTTCTTGTCTGACCATTCAAAAGTGTCCTTAGTTACTACTCTGCAAAGAACAGGCTTTCAAGTACTTCCGTAATCCGTGAGTTACAGGGTCTGCCTTCAAAAATGACTTCAAATCTTCATTTGGATTTCACATTTTATAGACTGTAGGTGCATATCTTGAGAGAGAATTGATGTGAGCTTGATGCAAACACCTGAGACAAACGGTGTTTACTACAGCAGATGAACATATTAAGAGAGTGTGAAAAATTATTGCATTGAAATATCATAGGATGGTAAAAGTAGAATCTGTTGTTATAGGTGAAATCGTAAGTGTTCAGAGCTTTTAATAGATTAAGTTTAATTGTTAAATAAGCTATTAAATATATGTTCACAAAGGCATATGATTTGCTGAAACGAATTTCGCAAAAAAATGCTTCTTAAAGGAGGCCAATCAAATTCTATTTTGTGGTGTTTTTGTCAGGCTCTATGAAAGGCAAGTGTTGAGTAACTAGAGGTTTGTTTTTTTTTTGGTAAAAAAAATTTGCACACAGTAGATGAATCGTCTCCTTTTAACTATTTTTAATCATTGTCAGGCTATATAGGACCTGAATCTTTATTCATTAATTTTATTATTTAGGTTTAGATTATTCATTACTAATCAAGAGAGAGATTAATAACGGGATTTGGGGAGGCAAGAGAAAGGAAGAAATTTTACAATGGTTTTTAAGTCTAAAAAGAAAAACCTGTTCTGAACAAAGTATTGAGTGTGATCAAGGCACTTCAATCATTTGACATGTTTAATTTTCTAAGCAAAACAGAAAATGTATCCATAGAAAAATGTAAAATAATTTACTTAATTTGAGGACTTCACAGTGAATTATAAAAAGATGTAGTTTTAAACTAAAATCTATCTTTGTGCAATTCCTGCAGTTGCCAATTACCTTTTAAAAACACTTGCATTGAATTAAAAAAAATGCTGTGTGAATATAACTTCCCAAATATAGTATGTTCCTTCTTGGCTGTTAACAGAATGGACCAGAAATATATGAATTCAAACAAAACAAACTAATTTACTCAAAGAATTTACAACACTGGCATTTATTATAACCTCAAGAGGAAAGAAAATCAAACTTTATCAGTGATCTGTATTTAAATGTCCAGCTAGCTGCTTTCATTGTGTATTTCTCCTTAATGGATTAAAGTATTTTACGCTAAATAGTATGTAGTACAAATAGCTATCCTGACAAAACATTTTTTTACATCAGGGCTTCAAAAATTCAGCAAAGTTTAAACATTATTTAGATATAACAATTATTTTACAAAGACTACTTTTAACATGAGCAGGCCACCCACAGTGTTGACTAGAGAAAATGGCATGCAAGCCACCCAGCGAGACTGATGTAATTTTTTTCATCTTTGCTTAAAGTATAGTCACTAGACCAGATAATGTAGAAACTCCTACACGCAACGATCAAAAAGGCTAAAACAGTTCCACTATTTTGACTCTTTTTTTTTTTTTTGGTTAATTAAAAATAAGTCACGAGTTGAAAAATGCAAATATTCACATGAAAATATAAATGGAATTCTGTTATTCTCTCAGGAAAATATGAAGAAACTTTAGCACAAAATAGAATGCTATTTTTACTCTGAATAGGAAGGATTCTAAGGATTTATGTATTCACAGTTAATGGAGAAATATAATTGCATGAAATTGTTAACCAAGGCTTGATCCTGTATGCAAAGAAGCCAGAGTTTTAATGCAATATGAAGACAATTTATATTTGTTCTGTTACAATGACCAGCTAGTTAGATTTTCAGTCATGCCACTGTCTATGATTTACTCATCAGTAGTTTTAAAAGTGACTCATTTAAATACCAGACATTATTAATCATATTTAAGACAGAATTTGACAATGTAAGAAAAGTTGTTTGCAAAATTCACTGATAGCTCTTGAAGCTGTGACCTTAATTAACATAATGAAAGGTTTTCTCTTTTCTAAAAGAGAAAACCTTCTATGACTTTCTCTATATCCTGAGATGCATAATTTAGTTGTAAAATGTAGATTTGGAGCCAAAGCAAACTATAAAATATCTGCAGCAAAGTTAAGCATTTGAAATAGGAAATAGTGATTGTTTTAATTGCACAAGGGTCTTACCACATTAAAATGCTAAGTGGTTCACTTTGAAATAGTATTTCATCAGTTGTAAAATGTTAAAACTGTTGAACAAAAACAGAGTAAAAACTTAGCAATAATTACTCATTTGCTCTAACAAATTTGGATGACCATGCCATTCATTAAAATGAGGAAAATTTGTATTCAGTTTGAACTGATTACTTACTCTACTTTTTCTTATTTATGCTTTTTAAAATAGGAGCCAGTAACACAGCAGATACGTTATTCCAAGAGGTGCTGGGCCGTAAAGATAAAGCAGATTCAACAAGAAATGCACTTAATGTTCTTCAACGTTTTAAATTTCTTTTCAACCTTCCTTTGAACATTGAAAGAAATATCCAGAAGGTATAATTCTTTAAAAATACTTTTATTTTTGCTGAAATTACTCTGTTACATTTTCTTGAGAAATAAAAATGTTTATTGTTGTTTTGTTGTTGTTTTTAAGGGTGATTATGATGTGGTTATTAATGACTACGAAAAAGCCAAGTCACTCTTTGGAAAGACAGAGGTGCAAGTATTCAAAAAATGTAAGATGGATTCTATTATTAGCTTCTATTTATTTTTTTTCCTGATTTTTTGTAAAACTTAAAGGCTAAAAAGCATATGGTATTTTAAAGAGGTTTATGTGGATTTTAATCCATAAAAATTACACATTTATAGAAACAATTACTGTAAGCAATATGTGTGGCAAGATTTTTAAGAAAGGTATATTCTTCAAAACGTGAAATCACAGCATATTTTATTTATTTACTAAGACCAGGTATTAATGGACATTTTTAAAAAACAGTTACGGTAACTAAAAATATGGCTTTGGCTATTTCTCAATGGTATATTATTGGAAAGATTTCGAAGTCCAATTTTTTTGTTGAACTGTGTATGAAATTTTCAGGTGCTTGTTATAAAATGAATAATTGATTTCCATAATAAGTTCAGAAGTGATTGATGTCCTAGAAAAATAATGTGATTTTAAGTTCATACTACTGCTGAAGACACACACTGGATTTATTTCCTCTCCCCATTCCTAGATTATGCTGAAGTTGAAACCAGAATTGAAGCTTTAAGAGAACTTCTGTTAGATAAACTCCTTGAAACTCCATCAACATTGCATGATCAGAAACGTTATATAAGGTAATCATTTGACTACTGTCTTTTTCAGACATATGGTGTTAGATTTGTATTTTAAACTATTTCCTGAATAGGAGAGTGACTATTTTTATGGTAGCTTATATACTGATTGGAAAGCTGCAAGTAGCAGCTTTGTGAATATATAAATAATAGCATTACATTGGTACTTGATTATTTATTGAGTGGTTTGAATATCATTTTTAAAAGTCTGTATTACATTTAAAGTTGTTGCTTCCTCTAAACCATGATATTGCAAGTTACATCTGAAATGATCATTTACAGATTGCTTATGAACTTATCATTTATTTCGGCTTGACTTGGTGTTGAAATGGAATCATCTTGATTCAGATAGTAGAAAGGTTTTAATCCAGACTTTCGTTTAAATTTGGTTTTGGCTATTTTACTATTCATTCTAAATAATACATTTCCTTTACATTTAATGAACATATACCAGATTCCTGGTTTTCATTGGAATTCCTCTGTTTTCTGTCATTATTGAGGCTTATGTCAAAGCCTGTTGAAGGAATACTAACATGAATTGGTTGGACCTTCTTATACCATAGACCTGAGCCTGCTTTTTACATTCTTTGGAGCCAGACTTGAGAGTGCTCTGAAACATATGACAGCTTTACTTTGAAGGCTTTTGAGTCTCAGATGTTAGTAGGACTCCTAGTGTTTCTTGACATACTTAGTGCTTTTTTCAGTTATCTTTAAAGACGTAGACCAAATGGTTTGTATGGGATATTCTAAAAACTCTGACACCTGTGTGAGGTCTTTGATGTTTTGTAAGCTCACCAGACCAAGTTGTACAGGACAAAATACAGCGTTGGAGTCTTAGGTCCATTTGATTTATGTTAGTTTATGTGAAGAATGTACAATTATGTAGAGTGCTTCTCATTCTTCTGGATGCCATGTAAATATTGCATATTTACTAAGATTTCATTTTAAGGTGAGTAGTTAAGCATGTCTCTTGAAGAAGACATTGCTATTTCCTTCTGTCTATTTCAGTCTTGAAAACCTTAAAGAAGAGCTTCTTTATCTAGGCCAAGTCTTATGAACTCTTCTAAAGATTCCTCGGAAGAATCAGAGTTGTATATGTTTGCATTTCTGTGGGTGTTTGATTGTGGTGGTGGTTGTTCATTTTTTGTTGCTTTTTTTTTCCAACCCCTCACCTTGAGGTATGTTGAATCCCTAAGATTATCCCATTCTACATTAAAACAGTCTTTTAATGTAAGTGACAGATATATTCCACATGTAGAATAGTATCATGAAGGAGAGCAGGATTGCACAAATCTGGAATAATTTTGTGATAAAGAATTAACAAAAGTCCAACATACAAATCCATTAAATGAGTTTCACTAGTCTAGGTATGCTGATGTGGTTAATACTAGTGTAAAATTCCTGGAGTCGAGGTGCAAAGAAAGCTTTCTTCAGAGCACTTCAGTTAAGTGGAAATTAATAAAATCCTAACTGTAAAATTATTTGCATAGGAACTGCTACTTTTAAGAGTTTTTTTTCTTCCTTGATATGTTTGTTTTGTATGTCTCCAATGTCCAAGACAGAGCAAGATTTGAAATACCATACTCTCCCCACTCAGATATTCAATGTATGTATTCAGTCTTCATAATTAAGCTTCAATTCATATTTTCCCAAATTCACATTTTCCCCTTATTTTATTACATTCTTTACACTGATAATTATTTATACTGCTCAGAAACTTTACCATATCACTTAACAGGCAAGGGGGCGTATTTTTTTCAAGATCAGCAGTATTAATTTTTTTCAATTTTGTGTCCCCTGAATGCTGAGGTAAAACTTGAGCTCATAATTTATAAATATCACCCTGTCAAAATGGTTGGTTGTGTAATGTTCTCATCCATCCCACCAATCCTACTTTGACAGTTTTTGCTTGTTCGTGTACTGCAGACAGTTCTCAAGGAAGACAGCATTTAGCAATGCAGTCCTAACTAGCATTAGACATATTGTAGTAAAATAGCTTTTGTGAAAGACTTGGACATGCCCTCCCTGTACATCTTAAGATAATAAATCAGCATACTTCATCTTGAACACCTTGAATTTTTGAATTTGTCCCATGTCTCTAAATACAGAGCATAATGGAGCACGTTAAATAGTAGAGAAGCTACTGCTTTATGAAAATTTTCTTTTGAGAGTACCATTGTCATCTAGTCATGAATCCTGTACGTTAGACTATAGTTTTGTGTTCTCTTAGGAATCACAGCAGTTGGCTTCCAATACTCCACTCTCCCCAAAGACATGGTGTTTTTCACTTTCACTAATTGAAAGCCCCACTCAGAGAATCACAGAAGGGTTGAGGTGGGAAGGGATCTCTGGAGGTCACCTGGTACAACCCTCCTGCTCCAGCAGGGCTACAAGGAGCAGGATGCCCAGGACCACCTCCTTTTTTGAAAATCTCCAAGAAGGGAGACTCCACAACCTCTCAGGGCAATCTGTTCATTTTTTTCATTACCCTATGTATAGATGGAATAATAAATATATACATATAAATTAAATTTTAAAAACTGTGTGTGTGCATCCTAATGCAAAACAAAATAAAAAGAAGCAAAAAGAAACAAAACAGGAGCTTAGTTTACATTCACTTGCGCATGCCTGTGCTAAAATTAATGAACCACTAAAAATTAACTCCATCTGCATTTGCCTGTTACAGTTGCATGATGACACGATTGGGACTTATAAAGTGGGAAGAAAAATATCATATTTCATGTGCTTGATATGCCATCACAGATTTCATGTAAAACATGAAGTACTATTTGCAATTTTGGCAGATAAAGAGCTTGATTTCCAGGGTACGTTTCTAGAGGCTCAACAGAAAATAAATGTTAATGTGTTATATATATGTGATATATGTGTGTTTTTTGTTTATTATTACACTTTTTTTTTAACTGACTTTTGCTTCAGTAAATTAGGAAGGAAGAATGCAAAGTTTGTGCTTGCATTGGGTATGAGGTTATCTTAACTATTCTTCTTGAATTTTTAAAATGATTTTAATATATATATATATATTTCATGGTACATCTTTGGTCTGTTTCAATGAGGCCTTCAGTGTGTCAAGTCAGAACTGTGATTTTTGGACTGGGTTTTACAGATATCTTTCTGATCTTCATGCGCCTGGGGACCCTGCTTGGCAGTGCATTGGTGCTCAACATCAGTGGATTCTAAAGCTCATGCACAACTGCAAGGAGAACTATGTTAAAGAACAAAAAGGCAAGGATATATTTTTTGTTATATATACATATATATGTTTGACACTTAGGAATTTGGCATTGCCTTTTATTTGACAAGATTTAGTGTAAAAATGATACTTTTCTCCATTTAATTTTGGTAGTTTTTACAACATTGAATACTGAAATGTATTGTTTTCTTTATTCTTATGAAAACAAAACAGCAATTGGAATTTTATTTTTGTTTAACTTAGAACTTTTAAGCTCTTTACATGGGAAAAGCATTGAATTTCAATCATATATGTGAAGTTTACTGTCCACTAGAAATACGTCTTGGAGGCCACATTAAATTTAGATTGTTTGAATCTACTATTTTGATTTCATTTCACAGGGTATGCTGGTAGTGTATGAATATGCAAGACATCAGGGTATAGTGGAATAAATTGTAATTTCTTAATATGCAGTGAATGATGCACAGACCTGTGAGACTGTCTAAATATCCCATTTGTCCATGTTGTATTAAGAACTATACAAATACTTATTTGTGTTCTGTATGTTTTTGCCAGTATTACTCCCTGAAGAAATGCACCCTGATGGGTATTGCTTTCAGGTGTGGCAGCAACTTAGCTACTGGTAAATAGAATCTATCACATCAGCATATTTTCAAAAGGGTATAGGTGGGAAGCTATTGGCCTGTCATTTCTAGTAAAATCTGAAAACTGTATTAGAAAATGACAAGTAGTGTCTTGTTTCTCAAGGAGTCTTAGCAGGATTGCTGATATTTCTGAAATAGGCATATTGGAACCTAACTTCGCTTGGCTTATGGGTAATGCTCATGTTCAGTGTTGCTGTGTGTGTATCCCAAACCAAGGAAGGTGTTTTCTTATGAGAAGGCACAAGAATTTTACTGAGTAAATGCTGCTGCAGATAAGTGCTGTGAAGTTGCCACAGGATGCTTAAATTTTCTTCTTTAGCAGAGGTTGTGGCAACAGGTGTAGGGTTCACATGGTATTTATCATATGACAATAAGTTTTAGCTGTAAGCATGCACAGACCATCTTTGTTCTACAACACGTTATTGAGTGCTCTTTTTTATGGGAAGAGTTGGAATGCCAGGTTGGTTTCTTGGCCTCTTGGTCAAAATTCAGAACATTTCCATAACCTCCCCATCTCCTGTCCTCCCCAGAAACCTGAGATACCCTACCTTGCAACACACCGGTAAAGGGCAACACCAGGTTGAAAAAAAAGGCTGCCATTAATGATTCTAAGCTTTCTTTTTCTCTTTTCCACTGCAAAATGCCATCTCTCAGCTTCTCAGCAAGAAAAATAGGATCATAAAGACATTAAATACTTGAGAGTTTTTTGTTGTACTGGTCTGTATAATTTTGATATGCATGCTCCAGTAAAATATTGAAAATGAGCCTAAATTCCTTGGCTTGTCTTGAAAATCTCAACCAATGTGATGTTTTTCTTGCAACGATTCTGCTTACCTCAGCCTTAATATCAAAGGGACTTTTTATGTTAACAGCTTTGTTTGGCTGACAGAAGGAGGAATTTACATAACTTGACTGCCCAGTAAATGCATGTATGAATGGTTAATATTTGCATGAAAAAAATGGTAATATATTATGACTTCCATTAAAAAGAGCCAATCTAATTTAAATAGCTTTATTTTTCTTTTATATGGTCCTTGTTGATACAATTTTTGCACAGTCTGTAAAATACTCAAGTATTGATCCTGGTTGATGGAATTCCCATTTAGTATCTTAGTATCTAGTTGGGCAAAAGTTGCTAAACTTAGTTTCTCATTTCCATACATCTTTAATTTTAGCATACACCAGATGGGAGAAGGCAAAGAGAAAACTCAGAATTGGTATTAACTGCCAAGCAGAACAGTGCTGATTGTGATCAGAGACATGGAATTTATTTTAATATACTTTCTTTGATGTATGCTTTTCTGACAGGAAAAGTGTGCTTTTTTCACTCAGATATCAAATTAGTTACGCATGATTTTGAGAAATCAAATCAACTTGAAGTCAGAAATGTTGTTTCTATGTTCATAGTTTCAGAGGGTATTTTTAAGAGAGAATAGTAATAAATTTTCAAACTGGAGTTTGAAACATTCTTCCAGAAAAGATTTTGCGTATCAAATGTTTGGAGGAAGAGGTAGGTCATAATGTTGGTACTCTCTTGAAAGTGCATTAGATGTTTTTCTAGGTTTCTCTTTAACAGAGATAATATATATTGTTTCTAGCAGATGGCATATGCTAGATTATACAAACAGAGATTACAATTCCACCTTGAATATACCAACAGTTTCTGGCAATTATTAGCTGTTTTTCTGCAGACCATGAATCTGTGGCTTCAAACTGACTGACTCAAAACTCTTGAGTGTAGTTAACTTAAATCTTTATAGCAGATTGTATCTATTTATGCATTTGTGCACATATTTTTCAACATTCAACTGAGTTTGTGCAAAAGTATTTTGCTGATGATTTAGTAGTTTTCAAAGCACATTAGAGCTCTGAGTTGTTAAACGTGATCCATTTTTTTACTATGTGAAATGGAGTTGGAATTAGACCAAAAAAAACTTTGCTTTTCTTATCTGGAAAAGTTTTTGGTAAAAACTCTACTGACATTCCTGCACAGAAGGTTTGTAGCTAATTGTCAAAAACCAAGCATCCTCAAATACATGTAATTTGTTTGTGGGGCCATGATGCATTTGGGAAGAGAAGGTTAACATTGTAAGTGGCTGTACTTTCAAGACTATCTGAAGCATAGTTGAAGAGTGTAGTTAACTAATGTACATGCAGAGGTGATTGAAAGTGCTATCACAAAACCACAAATTAGAGATATATTTTCATACACATATATTTTATTTTTATATCTAAGTGTGAATCCTTCACACTCAGCAGCACTTCCATATGTAAAGTAAAACAAGAATAGAATAGCCTCAGTGCTTGACTATTATTAGAGATTAGCTCCTTTTTGTAAAAATACTCTGCACTTGTATGTCCAAAGAACTGCAAAATATCACAGTATAGTACAAACTCTGATGGAGCTTGAAATATGTGGCAAATTTACAGTGCTGTAATAGTCTTGGAGTTCACTCTTGGACTGTGTTTCTGTGGTTAGCAGAAGTTCTTTGTGTTTCAAGTACTATCTGTTTTCAGTTAATCCTGCTTGTATTAATATTATTTCCAAAAACTGAAAGGTGTGTCAGGCTGTACTAAACTTTGGCAGATGATTTGGCAGTGTGTCTTAAAGACAGTTAACTACCAACAGCGAATCATTCAATCAGATGTCTTCTCTGATTTAAATAGGCAATTATTAATTATAAAGCATACAGCAATCTTATCATTAGCTATTTGGTTGTGTTCATTTCAAAGGGTGCAAGTAGGATTTGAATTTTATAAAGTCCTGTGTACAAACTCCTTTATGGCAGTGCTAGCATTTTGGAGAGAATTTAATTTCCCTTGAGGAATATCTATGTATGTGTATTAACATACCATTTCCTCTCAGTCTTAAACCCTACTGGTTTGCTGATTAGTCTCAAGTTATGTGCACTTCATTACATACTCCGATACGGCAGTTGTTACTTGCACAACTTTGCTTTCATCCTAGCTCTCTCTTACACTGTATAACCGTAACTGACCTTCTCATTTGTGAGGTAAATAATGCAGGCAGAATCATAAAGTCCTAGAGTCATTTAGATAGGAAAAGACCTCTAAGATCATCTAGTCCAGCCTTTAACCTAGGACAGAAGATGAAAAACTGTTGAAATCCAAGCCCGTATGTTGAAAGGAAAGAGTGAATATGCATCTATGACAGCAGATTAAAATTTCTTCTGCTCAGACGTATGAGAAGCCAGGACAGAGAGAGAGACTCAACAGCATAGTCAAAGCCATCATGGAAGCATTAGACAGTACAGGGGATGCTCAGATCAGAAAACTTGAATGGTAGTGTCCTTTCATAAAGCCATCCTCCCACTTCTCTGATACTCAGAGTCTTTCATAAAAGATGCCCCTATGGACACGGGACTCATCTGCATCTGCCTTGTGCTCTACCTCTACAATGTTGTGATGCTTGGAAATAAACAGGTTTATTAACTTTTTGTTTTCTATTTAATATCTGTCTTTTACGAATGGAATAGACACCTTTGTGCTCTTTTATTGTTTTTGAAACTTATTTTTTTATGGTCATGAAGTAATTTCCTGAAGCACCAATAGGTTCCATTTATAGCTCTGACTGCAAAATGCTATTGCTGCCCACTGGAAGGACCTAAAGTAGGTAAAGCTAGTTTGCTGCTGTTACTTAATATGTAGATATGTGTTAGGGAGATAGAAATGTGTGAGACTAGGACAGGAAAAATATTTTTGATTACTATGAATATAAAATTTAACATAGAAAAGCACTATGCTCAGTCAAAGTAGTATTTCTAAAATGTTTCGTAAACAATACCTGAATGACAAACTACATTGTGCTGGTATTTTGTGCCTTGTATTGGCTAGTCTGAATTGATTCTTCTGAACTTTGAACTTAGAATTTGAAGAAGTCTGGAGGCTTTTGGACCTGCTTTCTGGATACTATGCTGTTTCCTTCAACTAAAACTTTTAAATATTTGTATTTTTTAATTTTACTTGATAATTCCCCTACTATTAAGGTGTAATTTTAGATTTTTAAGTATGGTTTCTGCTTCCCAGACTTGGAGTACAGGAAACATGGGGGATACAGTGACGTAAAATGACATGAAAATAAATGTAAATAAATGAGGTTTAGTTTAAAATTTGCCTGTGGCACTGGGCAGGTAGCCAAAATGAATTAAGCAATGTAACTATTGGGGAAAGAAGCTATGGAGATTAAGACTATTTTCTGTGTGGCCAGTGGTTATTGCTTAGACTTTGAATTTGCTAGGCAGTTTTCATGATGCTATGAGCTAAAATGCATAGGGACTTTAATCAAGTTATCTTAAAAGTGACTAAACATCTGCTAACAGGCCTTTTTGAGATATAAGTAATATTAGTGCAAATAAGCTGTCTGTTAA